TGCCTTCACAGAACTTAGTCTAGCAGCTAGGCTCCTCAGTGGGAACAACACCCAAGGAGGTACCAATAAAAGGAGGTGGCCAGAGCAGACGGGAGAGAAGGAAGGTTGTGCTGGTATGCACACGCGCAATGATTTGGGTTCTGAGGGAGGTGGCCATGAATTTTCTTGTGTACTATTTATAAATGACTCATACAGAAATGAATTGCAAACTGTGTAGCATAAGCAATTTAATTTGAGGGCCATGCGCCCGCCACTGCTTTCCCAGGCCACAAGCAGGAAGCTGGATGGGAAGTAGAGCAGCCGGAACACCAGTGCCATACTGAGTGCTGATGCTGTAAGCAGAGACAGCCTCTAACACTAAGGCACCAGTGCTGTTGCTGAGTGTTTTTAAGTTGCTATAAAGTCTAGATATTAATCCTTTGCTGATTAGATAGCTCTCAAATGTGTTTTTTTCCTATTCTTTAGATCTCTTCACTCTAATGATTGTTTCATTTTCTAAGTAGAAGCTGCTGCATTTGATGTAATCCCATTTATTTGGTCTTGTTTTTGTTACCTATGCTTTGAGGATCTTGTCCAAGAAGCTGTCACTTATACCAGTATCTTGGAATGGTTCCCCTATATTTCCTTCCAGAAACTCTGTAGGCTTAGGTCTTAAATGTAGCTCTGTGATCCACCTTCAGTTGATTTCTATATATGGCAAGAGCTATGGATCTAATTTCACTCATATATATATAAATACAGTTTTGTTTAATCAACTCTTAATGCCAGGGTTTCAGCATTTTAAACAACTGCATGGCTTTTGGTAAGACAAATTCTACTTAACCAGTGTTAGAGACAGAAATACTGACTTCTCTCCCCCGCTCCCCAAATTTACAGTTACAGAGTTTACTAGATCACTCCTCAAATGGCTGCAGTAGCCAGAGCTGGGCCAGGCTAAAGTCAGGAGCCTGGAACTCTAAGCAGTTTCCCCAAGTGTCAGGGCCCCAGTATGCTGGCCATCTTCTGCTGCTTTCCCAGGTACATTAGCAGGCATCTAGATTGGAACTAGAGCAACCAGGACTTGAACTGGCTAGTGTTGCAGGTGGCAGCCCAACCCACTGTGCCACTATGCCAGAGTCCAAGGAATGTTTGTTGAGATGTTGATATCTTTGCTTTGGCTTCACTTTACTGAAGTAGCAAAAAAAAAAAAAAAAAAAAAAAAACAACCAGATGTAAATGACACCTAGAAGGAAGCGAGTTGGGTTCCCCATGTCTCCCTTTGTTCCTTAGAGAACCTAAAGTCTGTCCATGGATAAGTCACAGGGCAGACTCTGCTGGGGAGCAGGTGGACATCTCTTCCTACTTCTGCATCCTCTCAGAGAAGCTCCACAATCCACTGGTTCTCTCCCCAAATGACTGCCGTGGCTACATGTGAGCCAATCTGAAACTAACAGCCTGGATCTTTTTCCAGGGCTCCCTGTGTGCAAGGGCCCGAGGACTTGATCCATCCTTTACTGCTTTCCTAGTCCCTCAGCAGGGAGCTGGATCAGAAGTGCAACAGCCAGGACTCAAACAGGTATCCATGTGGGATGCCGGCACTGCAGGCTGAGGCTTAACGTGCTGTGCCACAGCACTGGTCCATCCTGTTTCCTTAAAATTAGCGATGGACCTAATCTGCCCAATGGTGAGTGATGACCAATGAAGCCTAACCCTGGGTTCGACATCTTCAAAGTCTTTTCATATCATATTGTTGCGAGAAGATTCTACAAATGAGTAGATCCATTCTGCACTATTACCAGAACTAAAGTCTCTCATAGTGTGAAAGGATATAAGCAAAGAGAAGCAGGGAGAGGTTGACATATGTTTTTGAGGCATGAGGACATTTTCTTAGAAAAGAAAATCAGGGCTGGTGGAAGATGAACTGAGCCTAGAGAGAAAAGAAAAAAGAAAAAAAAAAAGGAAAAAAAATGAGTATGAGAAAATCAGAAGGCAAACTTCAAGTTTCACATAGGTGATACTGGAAAAAGGAAGAACAGCTGACACAAAAAGTCTGTTGACTTTTTGTCGAAGTAGGAAATAAAGCTTGTGGATAAAGTGAAAAAGGGAGAAACTTATATTGGAGGAACTATCAGACCAAGTCTATGTATATGAAATAAAAAATTTAAGGTCTTGAGTATAAGACATTAAAAAGGACCTTGAAAAATATTTACCTCAGGAAATACTTATTCTTGCAGGAGTGGGCTGGAGACAGAACTGACCCACCAACTGTAATCACCAGTGTGTATGTAAGCTAACTGGGGACAGACTGCCAGACCTTGTAGTGGCAAGCACACACAAGAATCAGGTCTGGGATCACCTCAGATGAAGTTTCTTTGGGGACCCTCCAACTGAACTACTGGACTTGGCAGTGAAAATCTAGGCAAACGGAGAATCCAAGGTGGACTATGTCAGCCAGTAGATTCTGAAGAGATTTCATTGTGCTTGGAGTGGTGAGATCAGCAGCAATTCAAAACTGTTGAACTATCAAAACCATTTGAGCAGTGCCTTTGGAGCAGGCCCCATATCGAGGAACCTGGATGGTTGGGAGGTTTGTGTGGCCTCTCCTTTTCTCTGTCCCCTTTCCCCAGACACAGGAAGGGAAAAAAAGAATGTGAAACAATGGTCTTACTGCTTTCCTCCAGCCCTTGACCCTTTGTGCCCTAATCAATTATGTAAAGACCATCAAAAATCTTTTTTAAAAGGACTGTAAACCAAGAACCTACTGAAAAGTGTGGTATAGTAAAATGATAACACTCCGAATTCGAGAAATAACATATTTATTATGATGATGATATTATTTAGAGTTATAATAATACCATACTTATTAGTTAACAAGTGTCTGAGCACTTGCTGTTTCCCAGGCAGTTTTGAACACTTTGGTATATCTTTAGGTAAAAGGATCCTTTGTGGTCACTCATTTAATCCCTCTAGAACTCTAGAGTAGAAAGCCTGTCTTCATGTTACAGAGAGGAAATAGAGTATTACAGCCAACACACCATGTATGGAAGGTCACAAGATAGACTGCTGCCGGAGCTGGTGCTCACGCCCCAGGGCTCAGCACCACTTCCTATAGCCCTATAGGGCTGCAAAGCAGACTATGGTAGAATGCATAAAGTTTACAGAATTTAGAGACTGAAGCAGTAAGTATCTCAGGCATGCTGATCTACACTCAGGGCTCTTGATGACTTTGTATCAACATTGCAGCATTGCAAAGAAGTTAGAGCTGAGCTGTCTGGAAGGTTGAATCCACAGCATGTATGGAACATGGACAGAGTACATGTTTCATGATGTGCATGTAGGTCACGTAGAACCCTGCCCTTGAACATACTCATGGGCCATGTTAGACCAGATGCCTCTTTCTCCAGGCAATCACGTGTATATATTTACCAAAGCAATCCAGGTTATTTGTACCTAAACAGGATGCACAAAGGAGGCTGACAGTCTCAGGTGTTGGAGACTCAGCTGTGCTCAACCTTCTTTGGGGTTAGTTTGTTCTACGCTTATGTAGATTCCTTGTGATATGCATTTTGTGGGATCCTTCGGTTTGAGGCAGAATTGAAATTTAATCAGAACCTCCTCCAAGATGTCATAAATGATGGAGATGTGGAAGGCGCTGCCTCTGTTACTAAGTATCCAGCAACTGAACTCCCTCAGCCATGAGTGTCACTCTGATTGTAGTCCTCCTGGAAGCCGGGTTGGGTCTGTGGAGTGTACAGAGAATTCTAATGCGAGGCTATGTGCATTGCCAGAGAGGTCAGCCATGCACCCAGCAATTATACCACTGTCAGACCGTAAATACACATTTACAAATCCTCTGTAATTGTTCAGAAACAGCGTAGGCCTGCTCATGCAGGGCTAGTTACAGAATGTTAATGGGGATGCTTAACCAACATCTGCTTTCATAGCTGGAGCCAGATTGGTGCCATTTAGACATTCACGGCTGCAAAGCAGCAGATTGAGTATTTGCCTCTGCCAACCCTCGGCAAATAAAAGTCAGCAGCAAAGGGCAGTTGCAGGACTGATCGATGGGTTCTGTGTGGACATCCTATTTTGTAAAAATTGAGCAACACTCTGTAAAATGTGAAGCAGCTGTCAATTCATTGCAGTTGTTGCTTCACTTGCTGGCCTCTCTGGCCTGGGGCATGATGCTTCACGTCCTCATTAAATGACGCGATCTGTTAATCCTAAAGCAGGATACATGGTGGAGATGTCACCAGGAGCAGCAGTGGGTGTCAAGGTACCAGTTCAGGAGAGTAGTCTTTCTGACTTTTAGCAGGAAGCTTGTTTGAGGTCAGAGCTTCTCAGCCTTGGCCACCTGGGGGCATCTTTCTCACTCCCACTTGTTAGCCTTGAGAGCCACTCAGTTCCCACAAATTTCAGCTCCTTATGGCCACTCAACCTCAGACTGCACAAGGGCACTTCTGTGAAAATCACAGGACCCGCACAGGCAGTGTCAGGTATCATCTCACAGCCGTGTTCAAGAGTCCTGGTGCACTGTTTAGGGTTATAGTGATGTGGCAACACAATGACCTGAAATTACAGGGTGACAGAATTTTCTCCATTCTCTCATGGAATGGTCCAAAGCGAACAACCCAAGTTTGTGGGTTGCTCTATTCTACAGTCTTCCAGAGAGCCAAGGTCTGGCTATCTCTTGCTTCTCCCAGGAATTGACCTCTTGTGCCTGGTCAAGGCAGCTAAGTCCATGTTATATATACTTCATGGAACTTCTGGGAAAATGGTTTATTTTGTATATTGGAGATGACCTGCAAGGTTAATCTTTCACTCACATCCTACTGTCCTAAATTAGGAATCAGGGCTTCTGGGTATTATTATGCCTATGTGGGATGCTATACATCCATCCTATACTCCTCTGGCATGGAGGAAAATATAATAGGTTTGGATGAGTGGCCAGAAGTTTCTGTCGCATCTAACAACAGATTACCAAAAAGGTAGTTCCCATAACAAGATAAATACTGCATGAGTAAATTGAACAAATATTTATTAAATGCCTATTATGGACAGATTTCTGCATGCTGGTCTTGTAAATCATAACTTGCTGATGGCCTGCTTAGGAAGGGTTGGGATTAGATTCTTGAGATCAAAACTCACTTCAAAGGTGGGTTTCTTTTCCAAAATAATTATGGCAGTTAGCAAGGCGAGTCGCGCGGTTAGTCCTTCAATTATGTAAGTCACACCATTCTCAGGGTTTGTGTACTCAAAGAAATGACTGATGAAATGCTGGCCAGCAAATGTCACTTGCTTCCAGTAGTAGACGCGTGGATGCAGGAAGTAGTCCAGAGGCACCAGGAACACATCTTGGACTTCACTGGGATTAGGCTGGGCTTGGAAATTGTGGCCTATAAAGCCCACTACTGGGGTTATCCATATGCCTTTCTGCAAGCAGAAAACAAAGAATATACAGTGAAATCCTGAAAGCCTGTGCCAGCTAGCTCAGCTCAGACAGTGAATACACATTAAAGCTGTCCGTGTCAGGTGTGCCAACCTGACACGGAAATAAAAAAAGCCTCACCGACTTTTGACAGAGGCCTTTATTGGGGGCAAGTCCATTCTCTGGCCTTTTCTCTGCACAACAGAGAGGCAGAGAGGAAGTGGAGAGCCACAGGTACGAAAAGACACACAAAGAAGCATGCAGGTAGCGCTTACACCCCTCCTGATGTGGAAACCGGAGCAGCTACCGCTCTGGTCCTTACTAGGACAGCAAATGCCGGGCGCAGCACGTCATTGGTCCACCAGGGCTCTACTGCTCTGGTAATGTGCCAGATCTACACTGCCTCTTCCTGGTCCAGCAGGAGTGACAAGTCACATCCCACGCAAACTCTGCCCACCTCCGTAGCTGCAGTATCCGTCAGTCAGCTACCCAAGAGTGTAGTCGAAAGGGAAGAACTTGCTCCAGAAGTAAACACACACCCCTGGGAGATGCAGGGAGTACCTGCCCTTCCCAAGGTGGCAAGTGTGAATGACTTGGTGAAAATAAACACCTGGGATGGAAGTCTGAGATGGCGATTTGACAATATTATATAATCCCTTGACCTAGCCATTGAATTTGTATACGTGTATCATAAATTCCTGCCAGCAAGAAATAATGCACCATGTATAAGGCTGAAACATATCTGGAATTGCCCAAAGCTGTAGTTACCACCCTTCAACTGGTGGATATCTAAGCTTAGGTAAATTATCATTATATCCATAAAATAGAAAACTATACAGTTCAAGCGGATACACCCAGATCTTATCTCATATGAATTCACTGCAACAGTCTCATGATTGCACTAATAAGAGAAGGGGTAAATATTGTGAATTTAAAACTGGATGACAGTCTTACTTTCACAGTCTAAACATTTGGATGTAATATTACAATGTGACAGAGCCCTTTATCTCTCAGAAAGACAAAGACAAAACTTATAATATTATCACTTATTCCCATGTATGGGAGCATTAATGCACAGATCTGTCAGACATACATAAGCTATATCTATTTCTTTATATGACACTATACAAGGTCATGGGACAACAAAATTGCAACATTTAAAGTGTATCTCAACGCTAAAACTTCTGAAATCAGCACATAGCTTTTGCCTAATATATATCTTCTACCAATTTTTTAACTACTTTCCTGCATTCACATTATATGATTATGTGATTCACATTATATGATGTGTATGCATGTGTGTGTTGGAGGAAGGATTTCATTTAACATGGGACCTGTTAAATGAAGGACTCCCTGATCTAACGGAAATACTGAGAAAGAAGCCTGACTAGTGTGAGCAGATAGCTGATCAGAGTTATGTGACACTGAAATGGGAAGTGCAAGGAATCTGCAGCTCCAGGTGCATCTCAGGAGTAGATGGGTGGGGAAAGCCAGCCAGGCACCTGGTGAGCCTGGGAGGCAGAGAAGGTGGCACAGATCCACAGGAAACTCTCAAAGGAGGGGCAGCTACCACATGTTTAAGAACAGAGACAACGCAGACCATTAACTGAATTAATGGTGCGCTCCAACATTTGCACCAGGAAGTGACAAGGGGAACCTACACAATTAAGACAGATGTTGTTTCAGCGCCATTGATCTTCACGACACTGTACCATCAAGACTTAAAACCAAATGGAATATAGCAGATGACCTAAGCCACTGGCATTCCAGTTGTCACGCAACATTAAAAAGTTGATCCCTTTACCTTTGTGGTATTCTTCACCCAAATCAGGACCACCACCTGCCCCGTCCCCCCCACCACCACTTTAACCAAGAGAAAAATATCAGATCAACCCAGTTGGAAGGACGTTCTACAAAATACCTTACGGGCCACCTCACAACTGCCAGGCTCACAAGGATGAGAGAAATCTGAGAACCTGTAACTGACCAGAAGCCTCAGGAGGCATCCTGGAAGGGTCAAGATAGAAGGCAGGGGAAGGAAAATGCAGTACGGTTCCCTAAACATGCCACATTGATGTAAGGTCCAGCAATCCCGGAAAACGGGCACACGGCTCACAAGAACTCTGGTATTCTGGCAACTTCTCTGTAAGTATGTAAGATTCAAATGAAACGTTTACATCCAAATGTTTAGACTGTGAAAATAATATTGTCATCCAATCTAAAAAACAATATTTATCCCTTCTCAAGTCAGTGTAATAATGAGACTGCTGTGGTGAATTCATAGGAAATGATCAGGATATACCAGCTTGGGAATATTTTGTGTTTTCGGGGGAATGGGCTTTTTTTGCTGGATACTGTCAAGTGAATCTTGACTCATGGAAACGCAGTTATGAACAGTCACGGTTATTAAGCAGCCTGCCTAGTGACCTCGGCAGAATGCTCAATTAACATCCCATGGAGAAGCTTTATTTCATGGTATGTACAAAAATGAAGGACTTTAAGGCAAAGGTAATGCACTGGTGGCCTCCAAGGGGATAAAATTTGGTCCACAGCACCCTGGAGCATGTGTTACTTTTAGTGTATTGAATTTTCAAAATAAATGTCTACTGTAGGAAAGTCAATGTGAATGAGCACTAACAAGACATCAGAAGCATCTGGAGGGTTCCACAGCATCCACTGTGAAACTCATGCATGGAACGCAACCTGTTTCCTTCTGGGTGCAGGGCAGGGAACACAGTGCAGAAAAGCGACTTGCCCACAGCCTCTTAGCTATCCAGGGACTCAGTTCATCCAAGGAGCTGGTCTGTCGGCTTTGTGGACAGTCCTGTCTGGGGTCAAGTGTGGACAAGCACTAAAACTGGAGGACCGTGGATGCTCAGGAGAGGCTGGACGGGGCCTTACTTGAAACGGATGTGGCGGCAGACAGCAGATAACCTCCACATGATGAGGCTGCAGCCCCACTTCCTCCTGGGCCTCCCGCAGAGCTGTGGCTACGTCATTGGTGTCTGTAGGCTCCCACCGTCCTCCAGGAAAACAAACCTCACCAGGCGACCTTCTGAGCTGGACGAGAAGGAACAGAGCAGCACATGTGTTTCCAGTTTGGGAACCGTTCATTCCCCCCACAAATGCTTACTATTCACGGACCATCCCTATCTTGATGGAATTAAGTAGTAAACAAGGTTAAGACAGATTTCTTTCCCTTTTAAAAGTTTTCCTTGTAAGAAAATTGGGGACATTTCCTCACTCTTCATTCTTTTCTACTATACCACAAATGCCTTAACACTGGTTGTGGGAAAGAGCTGAAACATATATTAGTATAAAGGACGAGTCTTACTAATCAGTTTCTTGAGCCTGTTAGTGTGTGCTTACCATGTTCCAAGAGTGCTACTTTATAAGAATGTTTCTGTTTTCACTGAATCCTAGGAATAGTTCCACAAGCTACTCTTTTTCTTAATGAAGTGAAATTCACATAATATTTGCAACATGAAAAATTCACTGACTTTGAATATATTCACAGTGTTAAACCATTACGCCCATTATACATTTCTGGAATATTTTATCTCCCCCAAAATGAAACTCCTTACTTATTCACCAGTTGACACCTGTTCTCCTTCCCCTGTTTTTGCTTTTGTCTCTGTGGATTGATGCAGTTTAGGTAATGTCATGTAGAAGGGAACCCCGTGATATGTGACCTTGGAGGCCTGGCTTCTTCCATTCTACCTGTTTTTGAGGTTCTCCTCTCCTACCTTGTATCCCATATGAGCCCTTCAGAACAGCATTCTGCTACATATATGAAAATATGTTACTATGTGTGCAACCATCTATTCACAAATGGACACATGTCCTACACTTACATCTCTTTATTTCTACTTTTCGACAAGGGAAGCAAGGTTCAAAGAAGTGAAATAACCTGACCAGGTTTGTGCAACGAACTGGGAAATAAACAACTGTTTAATTTTAGAAGCTGTGCTCTTAACCAGCACATCACAAGTTTAGTAATTCAACAAAGCACAGAAACTATCAGTGGTCCCTGGAGTTGTGAGCATGGACCCCAGCCACATCTCCCTTTACCTCTGCATACCTGCCTGAAGGAACAGGGCCTTTTCCTTTCCCCCCTCACACATTCCTCAATCCCATGCCTTCTGACTTAAGAAGTAGAACCTTAAATATTCCTCATTCCTATCTCTCTCTCTAAAATGACTTACTGGGGGAGGGTGTTTGGTGCACCAGCTAAGTTTCTGCTTGGGATGCCCTCATCCTATGTCAGGGCTTAAGTCTCAGTTCTCCTTCTGATCCAGTTTCCTGCCAATACACACCCTGGGAGGTAGCACTGGCGGGCCAAGTTCCTGTGTCCCTGTCCCCATGTGGAAGATCCACATTTAGTTCCTGTGTCCTTGTCCACATGTGGGAGACGCACATTTAGTTCCAGGCTCCTGGATTTAACCTGGCCCAGCTCTGGCTGTTGTGGTCATTTTGATAATAGTGGATAGAAGGTTTTCTCTGTTTCTCTTTTTCTTTCCCTTCTTTATAAAATAAAATGAAAGCAAGAATCCTGAGCAAGGGGGAGAGGCAACCATCTCCACACTCCTGTCTTGTGCAGGACCAACCTTAGCAAGCAGACTCCAGTGGGTTTCTGCTCGAACTGTCTGCTGTCCCCTCCCTGCTGATCAGTGTAGGAGGCTGCCCGCACTTCTCAGCACTGAGGCAATGACAGAGTGCAGGTGCATCCCGCAGGGCGATAGAAGTAGTGACATCAGCTATGGTGGGAGCACCTCGAGAGCCTGGCTTAGGTTAAGGATTTCACAACAGGAAGGAACTCAGAAGGCCAATTCTTGATGTTGAGAAGCTAAATCAAAAGGTCATCCTGGCATTTTTTTAGCCCCTAGACTGCCTTACAGATTTAAGGACAAACTAGATGCGATGGTGTGACTGAGTCTCTGACAAAATAATGTACTGGCATCGTCACACCCAGGGGACGATACCAGGAGGTTCAGGTTTTGAGAGGTGACCGGGTTCTAGGGTCAGAACCCTTCTTAGCATTCCCACCTGTTATTTACCTATTTATATTAGAGAAAGGGAAGCATTGCTACCTACTGGTCACAGCCCAAATCCCTTCAATGGCCAGGATTGAAGAGGAGCCATCCCCACTGATTCCCAGGGTGAGGATTGAGAGTGCAACCAGAAACCAGGCTGCCCAGTGTGGGATATGCACATCACCGTGGCATCTTCAACACTGACCCAAAAGCCAATTCCCAGGTACTTCTGTCACTCGGTAAAATCCTCAGAGGGGTCCTGTGATACAGGGGTTAATATTTTTTCTTCCCTTGGAACTGACATGGTGGCTCAACAGACTAATCCTCCACTGGCATCCCATATGGACACCAGTTTGTGTTCCCATCCAGCTCCTGGTTTATGGTCTGTGGAGGGTGGCCCAAAGCCTTGGAGACTTATGTGAGAGACTGAGAAGTAACTTCTGACTGCTGGCTTCAGAATGGCTTGGCTCTCACCACTGTCATTTGGGGAGTGAACTAGCAGATGGAATATCTTAGCCTCGCTCCGTAAATCTGCCTTTTGAATATAATAATAATAATAATAATAATAATAATAAATCTTTTTAAGAAATATTTTGTCTTCCCATTACAAATGAAGACATTAAGGCACAGAGAGGGTGAGCAGCTAAGACAACATCACACAGCAGGCCGGGATACAGCCTGCACTCAACAGGGGCTTCAGCTGCTACCATCTGTGCTGCAGTGGGATCCAGTGGGGGATGAATCTCACACAGTGGTTGTTAGAGGAGGCATGTGTCCTTTTCTGCAAAGCCAGTCGCAGAGAGGGCAGGACTCAATGTGTGGAGACACGCAGGTCACAGAGGTCGTGTGTGTGTGTGTGTGTGTGTGTGTGTGTGTGTGTGTTACTGTCATCCGGCAGGTAGAAGCCAGACGTAGCTAAACATCCTACAACGCACAGGACAGAACTCCATAATGAGTTATTACCCAGGCAGGCTCAGGTGCTAACAGCAGCAGGGTGAAGTGACCTTGGTCTAACAGCATCCTAGACTGCTAGCTAGATTCCTTCTTTTTCCTTCTGAAACATCTCTGGAGGATGCTGCATCACCCAACAGCTTCTTGGACCCCTTCAACATCACAGTTTTGAGGGTGTATCACCGTGACCTCAGATTGTGTCAAAGTGACCGTGCTCCAGGGCTTCTGAAGGGCTTGACTCTATGCCAGGAGCCTTTGGGTCCGCTTACCTTCTCTGAGCGGAGGGTGAACAACAGGTGGAATTCTCCTTCTTTCCACAACAACGGTATGAGGACAGCACATTTGTCAGGGGATGAGCAAGAGTAACTGGCCCCAACATCATACTTTTTCAAGCGAACCTTAGCAATCTCTATCAGATTGTTTCTAAAATGGAAACATGCCATTTTAGTAACCAGAACAGCAGTAAAAAACAACAACAAAACAAAAAGCCTCCCTTCTGCCTTGTTGAATACCTGGGGCTTCCCATCTCATAGTTTTCAATAATATGCAAGAAGCAGCAGCTCTTAACTCACATGACTGCTGGAAAGAGTCAATGAGACAGAAAAAAAAAAAAAAAACCTCAGCACACAATTTTAAGCCATGAGTTCACTTTAAGTCTTCAGTTAAATTTAAAAATCAAAGAGTGGTAAAATGCCAACTTTCAATAATGGAAGTTGAACTTTTCATTCTGTTAGTTACATTCAGACAAGCCAGGCTCACTGAAGAAGGCCCTGTAAGGTGAGCCCACCTCGTACCATGACCCTCACATCCTGTTACGAAGCCCTCATGCCATCACGGCCCTAGAACCATGGTTTTCGAGTCTCAGTGGCAACAGGCTGCTGCTTACAGCACACTCCCGGGCTCAGGCCTCAACTGTGACTTGGTGGTAGGACCTGAGATTTCATATTTGATTCCAGCTCCTTGTTCGGGAACTGTCTGAATTCATAAGCACCCACGGTGTCTTGTTCATGTTCATGTCTACTGGCACACCTCTAACAGGTGCATTTCCGGTTTCTGTGTATATGGTAACTGGCGTGGGGGACATTTCTCACCCCGCCAACTTTCCATCCATGTAGAATCTGCGAATATGGATTTTATTCAGAAATAGGACCTTTGTTGATGACATCAGCTAAGTCTCTTCAAATGAGATCTCCTAGACTTTGGGTATTCCCTAAATCCCATGACTGATGTCCTTTATAAGATGACACAGAGAGGGGGTGGGGTTGTGGCTCAGCCGGTTAAGCCCTGCTTGTCACAGTGTCCCACATCAGCGTGCCGGCTGGGGGTCACCTGCTCCACTCCTGTCTGTCCCAGCCCTGGCCACCGCAGCCAATCAGCGATATGCTTCATGGGCAATCTCTCTGTCTTCCGCTTTTGAAATAAATGAATTAAGGGAAAAAAAAAATAGACACACAAAAAAAGAAGGTCCTGAAAGAGTGGGAGGCTGAATTGATCTTGCCATAGGCCAAGTGGAGTCAGATGTCAACAGGAAACTGTAAGGGGCAGGGGCAGGGTCCCCCACCCAGCGGGGACTGCAGCACAGGCTGGAGTTTGGACTTCTGCCCTTAAACCACACCAGGGTTCAGGTCTGTTGCTCTGGGTCACCCAGTCTGTGGCATGCTGTCACAACAACCCAGGAAACAGACCCTTGCCCTGGGAGGACTTCGCTGCCGTCTGAACTCCAGGACTCCAGGTGTTGGTGAAGCGTGACTGAGTGACCGCAGTGGGTTTCAAAAATGACCAAAATGGCCTACAAAGAGACCCCGAATTCCGGCACCTGGGGTTTCACACTTTACAGGCCACATCCAGAAAAGGCAAATGAACGGACAGCCTGGGGAGCGGACTGAGCTGCCGCACGTTCTTTTAGGGAGAAGCCAGAACCGGAGACCCGCGCCGGGAGAGGAGTGACTGACAGAGGGCCTGGCCAGGGCACTGGACGCCCCGCGGGAGGCCGGAGGTCCCCGCGCACACAGTGGGGGTTGTGCGAGCTCAAGAGCGAGAGCTGCCAAGGGGGCCAGACCCACGCGTGTGCACACCTTGTGGGTCGCAGCCAGCTCGGGTGTCAAGGTCGAGGACCCGAGCCCGCCTGGCGGGTGAGCTTGGCGGGGTCCAGACAAAGGCCTCGACGGCTCTCGCCGAGATCGAGGCCGGAAAGGCTTTACCTGTCAAGCTTCTGAGGGGAACAGGGTCGCGACATGGTGCCGGGGGTGGCGGGCTTGCAATCCCAGACTCGGCCGAGGCGCTCCCGGGACGGGCATGCGCAGAGCGGCGCTAGCTTCGGGCGGGGCTGCGGGGCGAAGCGTAAGGGGGCGTGGCCTGCGGCGGGAGGCGGGGCTAGTCGTGGACCCAGCGAAGGGACGGGGCGGAGCCTGCGGCTGGGGCGGGGCCTGCGGCTGGGGGCGGGGTCTGCACCTTGGGGCGCAGGGCAGTGCAATTCCCAGCTCTTGGGGCTTCCTCGGGTACCCCACCCACCCTGTAGAGGAGAAGTGGTCGGATCGGAGAGCCGGAGCTGGCAGGAGGCCCCGAGTCAGGGACCCATGAAAACTACTTGCGTTTACCTTTCAAAAGAGAAAAATGAATGCAGCCCCAAGTAACATTATAATCTTGTCTCCTGGGTGGACTCAAGAGGCCAAGGTGAACAGAGCAGCACTTGGGACTGCAGGAACAGGAGGCCCGAGCCTGGGCAGGAAGTCTTGTCTGGGGGAGGGCAGGTTGTACAGCATGGCTGGGAGCAGAGGGCGAAGGTTTTGGGAGCCATAGCAACATGGGGATTGGTTTTCTTTCTGAAAAGGGAGAAGTAGTAAGTCAGGGTTCGGCATAGCCTCTGTGGCAGCAGAGTCAACGGTTGGGAGAGCCTGAAGGCTTGTTAACTGAAGTAAGTTTCAGCTCTTTGGTGTGTGTGGGTGGCACCAAACTCTCTCTCTATTCCTAACTCAGGAAGTCAGAATGTAGCAGGTGTTTGCATAGCCTCAACATCAAAAACAGCATCCTGCGATAGTTTGGGGGCGCACGAAGGCTGTGTAGCCCAGTCTCTTCTTTCAAGTTCAGCAATACTGTCGTGAAAAGTAGATAGCTTTTGTGGGTTTTGTGAAGTCTGGAGGCCACAGCACAGGCAGCATCACTGCGTCCTGTGTGTTGTGTGCACTTGTGAAACAACAGAGCTGCAAGGTGAATGGGCAGTGTCGATGGGGAGGAATGATGCATTTCCGTAGCTTCTGCTCACCAGTGGGCAGGTAGTAATGCGGTTCTGGAAGCTGTTGCAGAGGAGCCCAGCTACAGAAAGGTTATTCTAACATTGTGCTTGTAGGTCCCGCCACAAAACACAGCCCAGGGTAAAGGCTGAGTGTCACTGGCTGGCCAGCAGACCACACACCTGGCCACCCTGTGGCCTGGCTTGAGTGGTACAGAGATAAAAGTACCAGCACCCAGCGGGTGCAAAGGCTGTCTGGGAAAGAGACCTACAACAAACAATTAGCTCTAATGCTAGCGCCAATCAAGGAGCTGGGGAATGAGAAGCAGTGGGGAAGGCAGTTAATTTTGCTCCTGAGTAGGCATGGGGTCTGTGTAGGTTTTACAGAGAACAGAAAAGAACAAGGAGTTCCTGGGAAAACAATGCCCAAGCAATGTGAATTTTGTCCACTTTTGACTGCCCGAGGGAGACCTCAGGAGAAGACCATTGTTTTCAGAAACTGCAGGATGTCAAAATCTTCAGGTAGGCGAGTCCCTGTATCCAGTGGCATTGTGTCGGTGTGAGCACTTCCATTTGCTTTGTTACCACTGTAGATGACAGGTGCTTACAATACTGTTGCAGGGAATGAGAGGTGACAGCACAAACGAAGAATTTCGTGTGGACAATTTCAGTGTGCAAAGCAAGATTTATTTAAGGGGGCTGTGCCCCCTTAAACAGGAAGTTGAGGCAGTTCTTCAGGGGCCCTCGGTATGGAAATCACCTAAGGATGGGATGTTACCTAGATAACTTAAAGACGCAGACCCCACCCGTCTGTGGGTCACAACTCATCCAGGATCATGTGTTTCTAAGCAAGTTTCTAGATGATTCTGATGTAAAGATACTGGCTTAAGGGCTTCCAAGGGAGATAGTTAATTTGAAGAAGGTAAAGCTCCCTCCTTTTAACACTCGGCAATATGGCCGCTTCAGAAAGAGAGACGGGAGAATACACAGCCAGCCAGGGCTGGAAAGCAGCATTACAGCTGAGACCATCCATGCCTGCTGAGGTCCTGGCCACACCTTCAGGTGGGCAACACCAGCATTGCCCACCCATTTCCTAACTGATTAAGAGACCACCGATGGGAACATCTTACCTGTAGGTTCCCCGCCCAACAAGGAGGGGTCAGGAAATACTTTAACCTTCCTCAACCTTTGTTGTCTCTGTCTCCCTCAGAGGCACTCCATCTCCAGGCCTTCTCTGTGGAGGTGCTTCCGCTTCCCTCTCCCTTCCCTGCCCACCTGGTACCTTCGCAAATAAACTTTTCCACCAGTGACAGAGTCCCGGCTTTTTATTTCTATACTAAGCTGAGGAAAGAACCCACCAGGCATTTCTGGTAACACAGCCATCTTCCTTGGTGCCCGTCGGTGCTGGCCTTGAGGGTGAGTCTATCTCAGGACAAACTCCGGTGATGCCAAATGTGGAATCTGTTTGTACAAAGTGGGCTGGACTAGATGGATTCCTTTATAAGACGATCTTTTCTTTGGTTTTTTAGAGAGACCCATTGAAAAGGAAGGTGTTTGCTACTTTTCTAACCAGAATTTAAGAAAAAAGAATTTAAGCAAAAAGATGTCCCTGGGACACAGGGCACAGGCTCTGAAACAATTTACAGAGAATGTTCTGGGAAACTTACCTTGTACCATCACACTCAGGATGATGCTGTATCACACCCCAGGGACAGTACGTGAAAGTGACAAGGAACCAGCTTTTGTCTGATGTCAGCCAAAGGGGCATGGGTAACAAGTGTCAACTTTTCTCATTGTTATTGTTAGGTTTTTAAATGTGTTGCATCCAGATTTTGAAATCCCCAGAAATCATCAGGAGTTTAAAAGTCGATGCAAATGCATAAGGTTATTCAGGCCTGCCTGGGCTCCCAGCTGTCCTCCGCACAGCAAGTGGGAACTGGACAGCCCTGAGGTTGGACAGCACAGGGTTTTTTATACACTTCAGGCCAATTTCACAGTCGTGATCAGTCAGTTTAACTGTTAATCTTTAAAAAGAGTAAGTTGGCAGGTTTCTATTGGCACAGCAAACAGATTTTAAACAAGCAAATTGGTGGGCTAAGCCAAGTGGCAGGAAGCTACAGGGCAACAGCTATGGGGGCATACTATGAGTGAGCAAGTCTTATCTAAAAGGCACACCAGGCACCCTTGTCCTGAGGAATGCTCTGTCAGAGGCAGCTGGGGGTCTTTGCCTCGAGGAATGCTCTGTCCTTGTGACTTGTAGTGTGCAGGCTGCTAGGCCTGTGAGCTCAGACAGTTACAGAGGCAGAAAATACTGCAGGTAGCAGTGAGCAAAGGGCAGATGGCCAGGAGTATGATTCTGAGGTTTCTCAAATGCACTTAAAGTTCCTGAAGTTCTTACGTTGTTACACACAGCTAATTCCCGCAGCCAAATCCTCTTTTCACGATTAGTTTACCGTAAGCCCAAATCCCAAACACAGCAAGGTGCTTAGTAGGTGCCATGGCGGCAGGATGAAGGCTGCCTGGGCAAGGAAAAGGGGCAGGATGGAGGGGATGGGGGAGAGCCAGGTAAGAAGGAAGGGGCTGTGTGGGCTGAGTGCTGCTCCCAGGGACTGGTGACTGAGATTATCTGAGCTGCGTGTAGCTGGGTGGGGATTAGGGGAGGGGCCGGAGAGATTGGGGAGTGGGATTCTCAGGTAAAGTGCCAGGTTACATCTGATTGGTGGATAACCTGTAAGGTGCGGATTTCAGGAGCTGTAGGGAAGGGGAAGCAGGAAATGGTGTGGGGTCCAAGATGGGATGTTGGAATCACTCCTCACGGTTGTGTCTCACTGCCCCCACCTCCCAGGCCACAAGCAGAGAGCTAGATGGAAAGTGGAGCAGCTGGGACACGAACTGATGCCCTTGAGATCCCAGTGTTTGTAAGGAGAGGAGTAGCCAACTGAGCCGTCGCACTGGGCCCTGGGATTTTCGTAAAACAGACCAAATAGGCTGAGGCAGGCACCATGCATTATAGATCACTTGCAAATGTGACCTGAGGAGCTGCTGCCTTCTGTCCTCTGAGCCTAAGATGTATAAAAGCCCAGTGCCGTATGCCCTGGGTGCCCATTGCCCTCACATGGTCACCCTGCCAAGTGGGAGTGGTGCTTGGTTATCTCCAGCCAGGGAGCAGTCTGTCAGACTCATTTCCCTCGACTAATGAAACACTTTGGCTGAACTAAAAGCCTCTCTCTTTATCTCCCACTCACCATCACCTCTGAACCTAACAATTAGATCTTGAAAACACAGACACTCAAGAAAGCTGGACTTTGGCCTTGAGGGGTTTGGTGTCCAATAGTCTGCCCAAGAATCCCTGGTGGGGCTGATTAAGTGGTGAGGTACTGTATCCACAGGAATCCTCACTCAGGTGAGGCCTAGGCCTCAGAGCTGGCAATCGGACCCTTGCGTGATTCTAATGTAAGTCTACATTTGAAGAGTAGGAAATGGGATTTAGATGTGAAAGCATTTTTAAATTAGCAATGTTTTAATTTAATATTTTAATTGACGCGTTAGACACAGGGAGCCTGAGTGGACACTTCAGCCAGGAAGTCAGTGATTTGATTTCTAGCAGCAGATGTTGCTTGAAAGCAAAATTGTGTGAGATGATATGAAGCCCCTTCCAGACCTGCCCTGGGTTACAGCAAAATATAGGTGCTAGGGTTTTATTTCCGATTGGTACAGTTGTGATTTTGTAAAGAGTGTTTTTTTATCCATGCTTAATTTTCATAGTGTGACAATAAAATAGATCTGTTTTCTTACATATTGAGATGCCTTAAAACTGAGTTTCTGTGAGGCAGCCTACCCAAAAAGCTGATATTACAGGAAAGCATTATTCGTGTACTCTATGTCATTGTCGTTCTTTCCTTTCGGCAAGCCTTTAGAAGTGATACAAAGATCAGTTGTGTTCCAATTCTTTTACTGCCATGTAATCTTTGTGTAATGGAACAATCAAGACGGTTTAATTACCAGTGACAACTAGGCTGGGAAGTTTGTGATCTTAATGAAAGGCTCCTCCAAGGAGACGCAACCTGCTCTCAAT